CACACACACACACACACACACACACAAGATTTAAGAGAGCTTTGAATGGAATCTTTTAGCTCTGACATGATTCTCTCTCTCAATGTCGTGTTTTTCGCTGCTGCTGAGCGACGCAGCTCTCACAGAGTGCCTCTGTTCCTTCTGCGCGGTGACACAAAGGCTACATTCGAATCATGCTCTGCAGCACGCTGTCGACAGAACACACGCCACAACAAACGGTCCTGTTGTGTGTGTGTGTGTGTGTATGTCTATGTGTGTGTGATGAGTGACCAGACAGAGAAACCAAGCATTGACCCCTTGTGATGGAGCCCTAGGGGCCAGACAAGGCTGCCCAGCTGTGCCCCATTGACCCCCCCCACCATTCTCCATTTTTACACTCTGCACTGCCAAGGCTGTAAAACTTAACCCTTTAATTGGGAGTCTTTTTACCATAAACTTGGGATTGACATGTCCTTGGGGACAAACCCATTGACACACAGAGGCTAACACATAAGATTCCTTACAAATGCTCCTCAAATGCGGATTGTTCCTCGCGCCAAGGGATCAATATTACATGGTGAGCCACTGAATGAATCTGGTTGCACAGATATGATAGCAGTTATTGTATGTGAAGCAAGTTTCTCTGGCAAAACAAGTTGCTCCAAATAGGAGCTATGGGTGTTGTCATTTTTAATACGTACCCAAAGCTAATAGAAAAATAAATTATTGTACGGGGAAACAGAAAATTGGACTATTCAAATCTCATCAGATTACCTGTCAGTCAATCTGCTGCTGCTGCATATACTGCAATTTTATTTGTCTCCACCCCACTTGTTCTAGCGTTTTATAGCTGAATGCAGGCAGGATGTTTCACAACCCCAGCACTGTGCAAACATTCCCAGATGAACTCCACCACCACTAACATCAACACATCATGGACAAAATCTCCATTTGGGTTTAGGTTACTATTAGTCATGCAATTTATGGCCCTGAGTGGGTGAGTGGGTGCCATGTATGTGTGTGTGTGTGTGTGTGTGTGCGTGTGTGTGTGTGTGTGTGTGTGTGTGTTAGCAGACAACTGTGTGTAAAGTAGAGGCCGTTCTTACCAGCACTGGTGCCTGCGCCAGTGGTGAGGTCAGCACCCATGAGGCCACCTGAAAGATGAAAGAGAGAGAAGAGGAAAAGAGAGAAAACCATTAGAGGATAGACACCCACGTAACATCCACTATGGCTCCTGTCTCATACCTTGCTGACCTTTCAGAAACTAACTCAATTTAATCACAATACGCTGTGTGTGTATGTGTGTCGGCGCCTCATATGCGCAGTGATACCAGAAGTAATGCTGCTTCCCACTCAAACCTTAACACTTCGAGCAACTGGACACTGCGAGTGGATACATTACACAGGCGTCCAAGAAAAATGACACATTATTATTTTTAATCCATGTGAGGTGGAAGAGTGGGAGGGTCCAGAGCGTGTGCGGTTTGGTGTGGACGCTGCGAGCGCCAAAACTCATATTTAGTTTATGCTGGCACTCCTCGGATCCAGTTGTAATGACAGGGTAAGGGTGTGGGCAGCAGCCTTCAGACCAGAGGGACAGAAAAAGGACCTTGGACAACAATAACAAACCAATAGGCCTGATTTACTTATGTCACCAAGCAATTCAGTGCCCATACATAAGGCCAGAAATGTGTAGAACCTCACGTTAAATCAATGAGACTGTGGGCTGGGGTTTAATGTGTTCTTAAATCATCAACTCTCTTTGAAGAAATCACTGAGCTGACATTATGTGAGTACATACAGGAGACTACAGATTCATTCATTGCCTTTAACTGCCTTCATAAAGAGTCTCTGTCATAAAAGAAATTGAACATTTGATGTGTTTCTATGAACATGACAGGCAGATACACAGATGGAGGGAATGACAGTGTGTACATGGCTGCATGAGTGCAAGTGAGGCTCTACCTGTATTACCTGCACTGGGGGGTCTGTGTGTAACTCCAGGAGACATGCTGTTTCTCTGTAGGCCATGGTGTGCCAGTGGCAACAGGTTGTGGTTGCCTAGGGAACCACCGGGATGGCTGTAAATGAGATTGTTCTGGTTGCTGACAGGAATGGACACGGGCATGTCGTAGCTTGATGGGGGCACGGCCTGCTGAGAAAGAGAGGGGGAAAAAATAAAAGAGACACGAGTTTGATTAGACTGAAGATGCCAACGATGGAAGTGAGTGCACAAACTAATATGAGGCCTTCGAGTAAAGGAATGGACACAGAAGAGAGAGAAAGAGACATGACATGTCAGAAACACTCCAGGAACGCAAAGGAATTCAAAAATCCTTTGACCAAGTGTAACTCCAGAAGCAGTTGCACACAAAAGAAAAGACAGACAGCCAAGTTCAAAAGGACAAACAGGGAACTAACAATAGACAGCCATGCATAGTTGAGGAGAACAACTTCTCAGAACAAAGACTAAAAATACAGGACAGTGTGGTCGGTAAGAGGGAGCACTGCACAAAACTAAAGGGTAAGCACCTAGAAAACTCCTTTCAGAGCTATTTAAATTGCTTCCAAGATGATATATGGGCTAGAAACGCTTTGTCATTGCAGCTTGATGTAGCATAGGTAGTTAACTTTGAAGGCCACTAATAACTTTATGTAAAGGAGTCAGGTTTTGCCCTTGACATTTGTCACTGTGATGGCAAAAAGTTGACGTGAGGAAACGCTCCATTTATACTTCAGGTTTATTACATTTAAGAAATAAGAAGGCTTTGGTTTACTGGGAATAAAGCCAGTGGCGTCCCACTGTTTTAAAAGAGCTAAAGATAATTCAGTCTGTCTTCACCTCACGTAAAAAAAAAAAAAGTCTGCATGAGTAGCTTCACGACTGGAGAAGTGAATGCAATGTGGAATAATTTATTTTTCTGTCACAAGGAGCTAAGGCAAAGTGTTTATAAGTGGTGGACTCAGATCTGACAGCAGTCTCATCAGCAGAGGTAGCTCTCCAGCCCCAGGCATCTAGTTTGTCATGTTTATTGTGTCACTTGGCAGAAGGACTTAACCTTGGGAGTGCCCTGGAAGTGGTTGATCCTGCATGTTAGCTTTAGGAAGTAGAAAATAGGGCCGAAATTATTGCCATGTGTCTCAGTGCCGTGGACAGAGTGAGTGCATCAGCAGGATCATCGGGCCGCCTTACATGGACGAGGGATGGGTTCCTTAGCACTATACTTCATCTTCTTTAATTTTCCTTGGTCAAATATTATTTCAACACATGACTGTTACTTTAACTGTATCTCATTGTGGGGCCTCTGCGCATTTTTGCTTTTACTGCAATTTTACACAAGAGTGGGCTCGCCAAAAACTATGGATGCTCTCTTTTATAACCAGTAAGGGGCTGTCTCTGGATCCGTTTTGTATTTGTCGAAGCCTTTGAGTAATTTCTTCCATCTCGTAGTCCTAGCAGGAGTTTTCATACCTCATGACTTCTCTGTGCCATGCTTTTAAGGAGTGCCGGAGCTGTCTGTGTGCACGTTTGCGTCGGCACAAACGCCCCATTGCTGTGAGCTGTCCTTTAACTGGTGCCATCCTTCCTGTTTCACTCATCTTCCTCCTCTGCCTCTCCCCCACACAGTCCCCTCAACAGTCCCCTGCAATCCAGAGGCCCAGTGCTTGGCAGCCGCCCTGACCACACACCGAACTGCCACTTGTTGTGTGCAGAGTCCCCCACCCGCCCCCGCTGTTCCACCCCCACCATCCACACTCAGCTCTGATCCCAAACCCACCCCAGCTCACAAACCCCTGCCTCGCTTCTAACCACATCTCCCCCAGCTCCACGTGGCTTAGACACTACTGTTCTTCTCTGAATTATCTACTGTGGAATTATCTCCTTCTTTGTGAGGAAAGAGCTCTAACCATTCCAATATGTTGCTTTCTGAATGAGGGGCAGGCTAAGTTTACATAGAAGGCAGCCTCTATTTTGTGGTTTCTGACAGATGGCTATAGATTAGATTCTTCTGTAACATTGTATAATATAAATCCAGCAGCTGAAGTATACTGACATTTCTACATCCACTAACAGAGATATCTTCGAAATGGTGTTTCCGTCCTTCATTCATTTCAGAGAGAAGGAGCGATCATTAAATATTCTGTGATAAGTTTAGGCATGTGTAAACGTCTGCTGATGCTTCGTTGCCGCGGCGTCTGTCCTTGTGGGTCGTGGGTGACTGATTGCTGTGTTTTGGTGCAGGAAAAAGGAAAAGCACATGCAGACCACACCTCCCTGGGGAGCCAGGCAATGCATTATGGGTAACGGGTTCAAGGTGGGGAAGCCAGTGAGGTTAAAATTTGTCATGAGAGAAAGTCTGCAATTACTTCAGCAAAAAACGCCTGCTTCTTATGGTCATAGTTATGTCAAATTAGAGGACTGTACTTCAACTGTAATCAGGGGAAATCAAAGAACTGTAATTTTTTGTCATTGTCAGTGTAAACTCACTCTCGTCTTTACTGCACTTTCACTTTGAGTATTTAGTCTGGTGGCAAACAATGGTGGTTAGCTGGGTTAGCTCAACAGTTACCAGCCAGTCAGCATTTTGTTAGCCTGCTGAGGAAGCGGCGTGGCGTCAACCCAGTACTTACAGGTATCTTATGAGTTTTAATCATGTGATCAAACTCCTCGTTAATCTGTTTGTATTTCTCCTCAGTGCGTGGGGTGAGGATGAGAGCAGACTCGAGCTCCGGGCTCTCGCCGCCTTTGTTCTCCTTCTTGCTCAACGCCTGCCAGGTCCCACAACCACAGAGACGGACGGACAGAAGGACGGAGGAAGACACAGATGAAGTGACGTAGAGATGGGTGGTGGGAAGATGTGACGAGAACAAGGAGGAGACGAGGACGAAGCAACAGAAAGCACAGGAGGGGTGGGGGGTAGAAAGAGAGGAAAGAAAGGTGAGAGGAAGACTCGGGTTCAATGAGAGGTACTTACACACAGTCTCTGTCTGCTGATCATCAGATCAATGTCCTCGTTTATTTTCCTGTACTTGTCCTCGGACTCGGGGCTATGGCCAACCGAGTCGTCTGCGTCGGGGTCTGGGCTGTCACAGCCGTTTAGGCCCTTCTTTCTCAATGTCTGCAAACAGAGCATTTATACAACATAGTTGAAGGGGTGTTTGGGGTGAGGGAACAATGACCCAGGTGAACAGCTTTGGAGAGACAAATGGTCATGAACTTTGAGGAGGTAACTTTGAGAATCGATCCTGACAACACAAAAATCCAACCAGAGTTGTTGAAACCTTGTAGAGATTTATTTAACAGAAGTACTTCTTGTTTTATTTCATGGGATATATTTACAATGTGTTCTACTCGTTAGAACAATAAAAAAATCTTTGACCTTTTTTTTTTTGATGACTCATTTTGGCAGGCTTCATTCTAACCTCCGACAACACGGGGTGACATGAGGATACACTGGCTGCTTTGTGAACAAGTAGACATGCAGCTAAACACTCAGGATGGCACAGGAGGATTTAACTGCGTCCAATAACCAGACATAACAAATGATCAAACTCTTGACCAAAATGACAAATCATGGGACCTTGAAACCTCATAATTACACAGAGAAACGTCATAAAAAACAAAACACATAATTTTTATAACCATAGTCATCAGTGGATCATTAAATAGATTTGAAATACAGCGGAGGCGCTTTGAGTTCATGTGCTGTTAAATGTGGCAGTTTCTGTTTTGGCCACCTGATGGCCACCTGCCCCCATTAGAGTGGCCAGGAAACAGTAGAAGAGCAGAAAAGGCCCACATGCTCTCCACTTGAGAGAGAGAGAGAGAGAGACAGAGACAGAGAGAGCCAGCGAGAGAGGGAAAAGGAGAGAAAGAGAGAGGGAGAGACAGAGAGAGAGAGAAAGAGAGAGCTATACCACTGTCCTCTTGTAGATATTGTTGACGGTCATAACAACAGGGACAAGTTTCAGAGCAAATTAGCGTGTGTGTGTGAGATAGCAATCTATGAAGTGTGTGTCTGTGTTTGCTCGCGCTTGAGCAGGCAGGCGTGTGCCGATGCAGGTGCTGTCTTCATTTGCCTCGCAAAGTGAGTGACAAAGGCTGCGCGGCAGAAGAGAAGGAAAAAGTACAGTAGCTGACAGTTAGAAGATCTCATCAAAGCTGCCCCCCTCCTCCTCCCCCACTATCTCCCTCTCTCTCTCACCCCCATCTCCCTCCCTCCTGGCTTTAATAAAGGGAGATTAGTCTACAGGAGGAATATCACGGGCCTGCTCGTGTCTGAGCAGTCGTCGCTTCACACCGCGCTCTCCTGCTTTCATCTGAGGCTCCATATCAGACAGACATAATTAAATTTACTTTAGCACACCCTGTATTTGATGCTGATCAAGTGTGCGCGCCTCTCTCTCTCTCTCTCTTTCAGTGTATGTTGTCGTGTGTGTGTGTCTACGTGTGGGAGGGGAAAGAGGGGAATGAGTCTGTTTTTGTGTGCCTGTGTGGGTGTGCGAGAGTGGGTGTTAGCGTCAAGAAGAAAAAAAAAATGAAAGAAAGAGAGACTGAGCACGGAGAAAGGAGGAAAAAAGATGCTAAGATAAGTTAATCTCAGTGAACTTCTTCCTCTCATTTGTTTGTCTCCATCAATACTCACTCACGGCAGAGATACGAGCGTGAGCTACTCCATCACAACCAGCAGCAGAAGTGACAGGGAGTGATCCGCTTGCTTGGAAAACAAATAACAATCCAGTCATCTCTCATGTCGGCACAACAAAGGCCTGTTTTGAGTGTGGTTTTAGTGAACTTAGAGGGCTGCTTTTGTGTGTGTGATAACTGTTTGATTCCTGAGGCGTCTCGTGGTGAGGCAGCTACTGTAAGCGTGTCAACATTTTGCTGGCTCTCCTCTTCTTTCTCTGAATCCTCACTTGGCCCCCAGAGTGGAAATCTGGAATTCTGAATTTGAAAGCGTCTCTCACATCTTTGACAGTCTTCAGGAAATCACACCAAACAAATCAACCAAGGCGAAGCAGGAGATCTGACTTCTAACAGACCTACAGTGAATCAGGCTCTCTCGCTCCATCTGAGGTGGATGAGTCAAAAGAACAAAGGGGTTGTAGAGGTTTAGCATGCTGTCTTTTTTGGCAAAGGCGTGAGATGTACAATTTCTGGTATTTCTTTTGTGTTAGAGTTTCGTTCTGGACTTGGCGATGCATCATGTCGAACTGACAAGAGCTGAACCCCTGGCCTTTTTTTTGCTCACATGAGGATGCATGCAAGAAACAGAGAAAAAACGACTTTTCGTCGTACTTGCAAAGATTTCCACCACCTACCACCACCAGCAGCACAGAGTGCAAGAGAGATTCACTTCCATTCTAGGAAAGACAGGAGTGGGGCTTCGCTGGGCGATGAGAACGAGGGGCTGGGATTAAGGTGACACCCAAAAGGGGAAACTGAGCTGGTGGTCTTGCAGGGGGTTGGGCAATGATTGCGTTGGGTGTTGATGCGTTGCAGGGAGCCTGTGCTTGAGTGTTATATGACTTGGAAGCATGTGGCTGAGGCTCAGCTTTCCAGCAGGGCTCAGCACATTGAGGGTGCGGTACAAGGGCGCTATGCCACTCATCCCAGTTATGCCCACCTGTTAAAAGTCATCACACCTGTTGCCAAAAGTTGACACCCGACCCAACAACCAATGAGAGCTGCTGGTGTCTTCATATAGCCATAGAAGGGCCTCTAACTCTCGCACTCTCCGCCTCACCACTCCTCATCACCCTATTCCTCCTATGTTTTCCCCTTCGCTAATAGCCCACTGCTTTATCTGTGCCCTGAAGTATTTTATTGCCCCGCTGCTTAAAGTCATCAGGCGCTGCTCCAAATCACGCTTCCATGACATCATCACTATATAAGATGCATCAAAGACAAATGATCATTGGAAAAAAAAGGTATAAAGAGCTGCTATGGTAATAGTCTTTGGGGAACATGCTAATATGAGACTTAAAAAAAATACGACTCTTGTGCTGCTTATTTAATATTATGCAGAAAATATTCACCCAAATTATCATTCTTATATTAAAACTATTCAAATTTTCATGTAACAAGAATTTTCAGCCTATAATAGTGCATCATTTACATCTACAGCAATTGTATTGACCCTGTTTACACAAGTCAATTTTCTTGCCATTAATTCATTATGTGTTTTGTATTTCGCAACCAATGTAGTTAGATATAAAAAAGAAACAACTAGCAAAATGTGGACAGAGTGAAGTGGGAAGCCAGATCATAAGGTAGAAATAAAGGGGAGTTAATTACAAATTACTACAATGTGCTAGAGCCAGCTACATAAATACAGGCACGCTACAGAGTGAGCGCAGTAAATATGAACCAAAGACTGATAAAACAGATGACGACAGGAAAAACTGCTAAAAAGATGTGTACGCTCGCTTGGCTCAGTGTCTTTCTCTGTGGCCCCTTTGGAGGCTTGCTCCTAATTAAACTCCTTCTTCATGATGCTCCCTCATGACTCGACTTGTCACAGGGCCTGCGTGAAGCAGGCACAGCATAGACATGGCGTCCTACATACTTAGACACCCGTCTCAGTTCTGCACCCTCAGCTATAGGCTGGCCTGCACTCGTCTACGGACGCGGTGATAGAGGCACAGTAAGGCAACCTGGGCTAGACTTAAATAACCACAGGCTATGTTAATGGCAAAAATGGCTATTGTTTGAAATTAAGATTTAGACTTATTTCTTAGTTTGGGGTGTGGGTGATACTTTCATGTAGCTCTTGAGAGAAAACTGTGGAGGGTATTTGGGTGTGAGTTCTGGGTGGCCCCAGGGGGTCTGCTAGGGACAGCTGACGCCTGCACAGAACTCCTGCCATACCAGGACCCGTCTGCTCGGCATTCTGCCACCCTGCTCACCCTCTCTATCCGTCTATCTGTCTTTCTGCCTCCATGTTTGTGTCTCAGTCTGGTGCTCAGTCTGTCTCACTACCTTTCTGCAATACTAACATATCTCGACAAAAGCTGAGTCAAAACACTGTTGGCTTGATGGGTACATCTCTATTTCTGATAGGTTGGGCTGGTTGATGGGTTTTGTTTGGAAAGAACTGACCATTCCCCTCTGCAGTTATCTTGGCAGTGGCTGAAGGGTATGACACATTCAATATTGTGTTTATGGCCATTGGCGACAGCACGACCAGTGAATGTTTCTCAGTGTCTTCTGCCCAATGGCTGACAGCACCAGTACAAAAAGCCTCAACAAAAACAAGCAGTTTATAATAGAGCTTTTATATTTCTGCCAACACTGTATGGTCTTCAGAATACACACCATTGTAAGCAAAACCAAACCTTAGAAAGGATTTTGTTTAGTAAGGCACAAAGGGTTTTACCCAAGAAGTGTGTTTCAGCAGCTGATGGAAAACAAGTTGCTGAAAGACGAGAAGAATTTAAAAGCATTAATACCTGTGCCACTTATTGTTAATCATGTTTGCTGGGCTGTTGAAATATAAAAAAACGGTACTGGAATGAACAGCTTTTGTCTTGCAGGCTCTCAGCCTGTTTTTGTCACACAGTTAAAAATGGCAGAGAAACAGACAGATTCACTTTGACTGTGAGAGATACTCCTTGGAGACATGTGAAATGTACAGACCCTGCCTTTATAATGTACGAGCGTTTCGAGGTGTGACCACAGAGTGCAGTAATACCCACGAGAAACTTTTCTGTAGCTGGTTCAACACCTAAAAGTCAATCACAGTGGAATTTAAAATGGCACCCGAATAATCTTAAAGAAAATGTCATCCAAAGCTATGATAATTAAATTAGAATTCTTTATTCACTCAATGTAGAAAAGTGTAGAATACATTTTATCTGAATGGTGTTCACACTAACTCACAATCCTAAGAGATAAATCATGATCCTTTGGTGAGGAAAAGGTGAAAAAAGACAACTTGGAGCACTCTCACTTTTTACCAATTGACTAACTCAATTTCATCAGAGCAGATTGTTGAGAAGCAGTGTGGCTCGGTGTCAGTAGTGGGGAGGCAGTGGGGAGAAATACTGTCTCTTCCCATCACAAATAACACAATGGAAGTGGTGGTGAAGTGAACCTGCTGGAGACCCCCCCAGCACC